GCAACCCTGTGACTACAGCCAACACGAATCACCACCCTATGACCAACCCTCTAAACTTCACGATACAACCCCTTACAAACCACCTAGCATAAGATAGCAAGAATATATATAATCCCAAAACCTAAATAAAGTCAGTTTTTCTCAAATTCTAAATACGTGTCACTTCTCTTGCAGTATACCTACTCTATGGATAGTACCTCGTATAGAGGCATAGTTATTCTTATTTTTCGCTGTTGCAAACTAATCTCGTGATAAGAGCGTGCCCATAGCGATTCTCTCTTATTTCATAGCCAGCCATTGTCATTCTGTTTATAAACTTATGTAGAGATAGGGTGGTGTTAAATAATATAAAACTATTTATTAACCATAAAATATAATATACAATGCGCGGTGACGGTAAAGACTACGAATATAATCTATTAACTAAACTCTTACAACTACAACGACACAATTATACCTAACAACACGAATACACTTAACAACACGAATACAACTAACAACACCTTTTCTTTTCACAACTCTCTGCTACGAACTCTAATATACTACACGTACTACGACAGACTACCCACTCATCCTGCGATACCACACTTATTTTATTCTATTAAGAAGCCAACAATACTATCATTTACTACTATGTGTTAATACTTAGCCGACCGCACGCCCCAGAGCGAACTATACGGTTTCCACCGTGCTCGGGGAACCCAAACTACGCTGCCCACCGGGTATTTTTCGGAAGTAACGCGAACTGATTTTATGACTGATAGAAATTGATCGAAAACGGGTCAGAAAGGGGTCGGAAATACCGAATAAGGGGCCTTAAAAATTGATGAATTTTATTATATGTTGTGCTTTATAGGAGCAGTTCGTCAGTAATTGCGAACAACTCGAAATGGAGGTAGTGTAAGTAATAACCGAAGACGAGAAACGCGTTGCTAAGGTCAAAATGGGAGATCTCCCCGATCGGTCGGGCACCGACTTACTTTAACACTTTATCGGCCGCTCATTTCTCGCCGCCGGTGAATTTCGCGCGGGTTCTACTAGTTGCTGATGGTCATATTTACGCTATTCTTATTATTTAAAAAGGCACTAATATTTGAGACTAACGGAACAAGCATCTGCTTAAAGAATGTCGAGAAAAGACGATTGGAAGAGTTAAAACAGAAGCATAGTGGAACATTGTGCCGCGCTGAAGCAAAGTCACGTCTGCGTGACAGCGGCCGGCAAAGTGTTAAAATGGCGAGATCTCCCCGATCGGGCGGCTAAGTGTTAAGTCAATTCAGCCAAATACGATCCTACGTATATAACTCGCGAGTAAAGGTTGAACAAAATGTAGACTCTATATGGCTTGAATAAATGCTTAATACTGTTTTATTCCTTGCTTCGTTCGTCTTTTATACATAAGATTTTAGGGTGTGGTTCGAGAGAGTGGGGAAGCATGTTTATGATTGTCGGAGAAAGGTTAGGTTCTGAAATTAAGGTAATACATCTGGTGTTGAGTGTGGCGTGGGAAATCGGAGTGGGGTGTTTATGAAGAAAGGGTTAGTTTTAAGATAATACATCTGCTTCTGGGTATAGCGCAAGAGAACGTGGTGAGATGTTTATGAAAGAAAAGTTATTTATTTAGGATAATACATGTGGTTTTTGGTTATGGCATGAGAACTGGGTAGAATATTGATGATTTTCGGATAGGAGAGGTTAGGTTTGATATTAAGATTCTTGAGTGCTATCACAAAGGAGTGAACACTCATTTGTCCTA